GCGTATAAACACTTGAAATAAGTTATTTTGTTAATAATAGTTTTATTTACCTACCTATTTTACGCCAACGAATTAAAAATAGATTTTACAATTTATTTCAATTAGGTTTTCGGCATCTGTCTTTGTTCACTTAATCGGGTTCAGTTAAAGACTTTGAAATAAGAATTTTCAGAAATTTTCATTATTAAATAAGATTTCGTATCAAAATATATTGAATGAAGACTTTCCTTAATTTGGTAAAAAAAAAATTGCAAAGATTAAGTACAAAAATTTGGTTTCGAAAATAATACTTACTGAATTTGAAAATCAAATTCAGTGAATAATGTATAGCGCTACAGTTGATTTCAAAAGAAAGAAAGCTCAAAATTATCGAGTGAGGTCAAATACGAACTACCAAATTAACGCAAATTTAACTAGAAGAATGAAAAACTTCAATTTGAAATGTACATAATAGCTGTAAAAAGCGTGTCACCCGCGGCTCCATTAACTCTGATTTATTCTCATTGCGTCTCTACCGTTGTCTGCTGCTTTCGATCGTATTATTCCATGACATATAAGGAACGGGCAATGTAGAGCTGGCATTTTGAAATAACGTTGCGCCTACATAAGACAGAAAACGGTTTTAAGATGGTTAGTCGTTGAAGTCTTTGTGTTAGTAAATAAGTAAAGAAAATTGTGAAATATATTGAAAATTGCAGATGACATTTTTTTGTTATTCAACTCCTCCTTCAACTACAACGAGCGTACTATGTCGGATTATAACGAGACAGATAAAATGTTATATCTCATATTTGGTATTGCAGACGACGTTTCTTTGTGGCATGATAGATAACATAAAATTCAAAATTTTAAAATCCAAGGACTTAAGAAAACTATAAAAAACAAAGGTATTGTCATCGAAGTGGAGCGCGTCAAGAGTGTCTTTTAAACTTGTTCCCACCAAACATACTTTTTTCATTGCAGACTTAACGTACGTATACGCTGCGCATTCCACCAGATGGCGCTGTTCATATGCCATACAATTTCACGTTTACTTAAACGCGATCGAATAAGTAAAAAAAAACCTCAGCTTCTTTAGCGTTACGTTATTGTGTAGTTGAGCACACATCATATGTGTGTCGTGTCGTGAAAAATTATTAACTTCCTATGCAATGTTTTGATATGATGTAAATTTATCGCCATTGTAGAGAAAGAATAATCTTACTGTTATAGTAATGAACATACTAAAACCAGATGTATTATGTTTGAATAGAAATAGCTTTATATGCATATATATTAAGTTGATGGGCGCCGATATTAATAAGCTAAAGCAAAAATTGAGGAGCTCGATGGCGCAAGTGGTTAGCGCGTTCGGCTGCGATCGTTGAACTTAAGCAACTTTCGCAATGGTCGGTCATTGGATAGGTGACCAAAAATTACTATCTCGAGCTCCTCCGTGCTTCGGAAGGCACGTTAAGCCGTTGGTCCCGGCTGCATCTGCAGTCGTTAGCACCCACCAATCCGTACTGGGCCCGCGTGGTGGGTCATGGCTCAATCTCCCTATTCCATCCATAGGGAAGGCCTGTGCCCCAGCATTGGGGACATTAATAGGCCGATGATGAAAGCAAAAATAAGTGCAATGCAGTGCGTATAGTATCTAGTTATATACCTAGGTACTTATTTTGTTTAACATAAGTACAATTACTTATATCTTCAGTAGCCCTTTGTTTGGAGCGTAGCTTGCTCAAGTCGTATCTAAAAATAACATACAAATATGGAAAGTAAATAGATACTTTGTGGCTTGATATTGGTTTATTATTCGTACATTATGCCTCTACTTCTATAATAGGTTCTGAAAAACAAAACAATTGATTTATTGAAGGAGAAAAGAATAAATTATTGATAGGAAAAATTTCCAAATGACCAAAGTCTTTGTACTCGTTGGGGTTAAAGTATGTCAAAGATAATTTCTTATTAACGCCCAAGGCTAAACTGCATCAGTAAGTTTAGAAACCAAGTGCGTAAATTAAATTTTAAAACTAACTGATGCAAAAGTTATAACATGCCGTTCGGAAGTCACGTATTTTACATAATTTCATTATCTCATCCATTAGTGTCCATTGTTTCCCGAACGTATTTAAATGTAATTAGGGGCTCGATGACGCGAGTGGTTAGCGCGTTCGGCTGTTAGCAACTTTCGCAATGGTCGGTCATTGGATGGGTGACCAAAAATCTTCTATCTCGAGTTCCTCCGTGCTTTGGAAGGCACGCCAAGCCGTTGGTACCGGCTGCATCTGCAAACGTTAGTACTCGCCAATGGGCGCGCGTAGTGGGTCATGGCCCAATCTCCCTATTCCATCCATAGAGAAGGCCTGTGCCCCAGCAGTGAGGATATTAATAGGCTGATGATGATTTAAATATAATAATAATATAATTGTATTCATAAAAAACCTAACTATGAAATTATATAAATGAGAGATATAATTGATAATGTGATGGTGTTTGCTGCGTAATAATAATAAAATAAAGATTCGACCATTGTCTCGTTTCGTCTCGTTTCGTTGTTAACGAAAGATTTCATCTAAAATTGTAAAAAAAACACTATAATAACGTTATTAAGGGCACGCATGTGACCAAGATGAGAGTAAAAGTGAAAGGGCAGTCAACATATAAGCAGTCGCTTTATCTGTCCTAACGTTAAATTCTATTGTAGTTAAAAAGTACGTACGTAAAACTGAAGAAAATTTGAATAAAAAGTAAAGATAAACTGTATATCTTTAAGTATATGTCAGAAAATCATTTTTAATATTTTTTGTATACCTAGGTGGTATTTCTTTTTGTATCCTAACATTTTAAGTTCATAGCGTAATTTTTTGGCCTCAAACATAGATTCATTAGATACAGAAGAGCTTTCAATACAAACAGTTTGTTTTCAAAAAAACCTGCATAAAATATTATTTTGTCGTAGAGTACCTATATATTACAAATTTGGAACGCAACCTTTTAAAAAAGCATGCTAAAACAAATGATGGGTGACAGCGAAATGTCTCCAACATTTTGACGTGCCGAGCATCGTTGTTGGTTCAAACCAGCCGGCAGTGGCTTGCGTTGCGAGACAGAGAAAAGAAAGTGCAGGTAGGCAGGGCGAGCAAGATTTATTAGATCGTAACTGGTGGGGTCGGCAACACCCGGGCACTGTCGTCGCGCGTTCGAAAAAAAAATATGACCCGACTCGAGTTCAACACATATCTTGACGTGTATTATCATAATCGAAAGAGTCTATGGTTTTCAAAATGGCGGCGCTTATATTTTTAATCAAACAAAACATTAGGTAAGACATTTTATTTAACAAAGTTGTTTATTACACTATTAAAATGGTCATGAATAACAGAAGACGTTAAAATTACATTAATGATGACTATGATAAAATTATGAAATTTGTTTCACGGCGTAGATAATAAATCAATGAACCCGTACCTAGAAGTGCTTACCCCGTCTAATAACAATAGGTATCGATCATTGTAAAACGTTATAATTTTGCAATGTTTATTTGCTCCGTAACTTTTAAATGAAAGAATCATTTTACATTACAAAAAATAAAAGTTGCTAAGCTATGACGAAACCGATGTAAAGGTCGGAGTGGCGTACCGACACAGACCTTGAGTGTACTCAATATGCTCTTGTTCTGAAAAGGAACTTTATTCTTATTTCCCGCCAAAGAAAATTTTGTGACATGCCCACATCGTTATTTTAGTATATTGTCGTAGAGCTCTGCATATTCACAACTTAACATGTATTGAATGTGACGTTCATTTTAAGAAAACAACTTATGTAACTAATTTTTTTCCATTAAACATATTTTGTATTTGAACGTTTTAAACAACACAATCTTTCATTTTATAATAGAGTCGGCAGAGAAAATTTTACTATTGTTAAGTTATTTATAAATATAAAGGAGAGAGCAATAGAAATCATGAGAAAGATAAAAACAAAATCGCGAAAATTTGAGAGAGATACAAACTAAAACGGGAAAAGAACAACAGTTTTTTCCTAGAGGAAAAAAATAATAAGATAAATTTCGGCACCAATTTAGACAGTGCTTCTTGCATCGTGTCATAATTGTAACCATATTTGGATACTTGTTAGCACCGAGCTTTTGTATAACGAGGAAATTAATTCAACTACCTATTAGTTGACCAGTCCGTCCGAAATGACGGTCCTCCCCGTACGTCACTCGTTTCCTCTCGGCACGTACGTAGCCGTACACGAGTGACGCAATTGGCTTTTTCAATGTCTTATCTACAGCGAGGTATGTTGTCATTCGGCCAGTGAACGCCGCGCTGCGCGCACGTCGGCGCTCCACTCCCGCGCATATCTTTGTTTCACTTGTACTTTATTGCTATCGTTGAGGGCCATACTGGCGAATTGCGCGACCGTATTTTGTCAGTGTTTTGAACTCCTTGTGACATTGAGTGACACAGTTTATATAAAAAACAAGGTCTCCACGAATCTACCATGCTGATGTCAGGATTTTTCATTATATCTCCCGACTTTTCTTTGAGGTGCGTTACTCTCAGTTTTTTTTATTTGTGTTGAAACCATATTCTTTGTCATCACACATTTGAAGCGATCGCGAGTGGAACGGATTATAACAAGTTATGAACCTGATTGGCTCGCACAGGCGTCGATGCATTGTTCTTTGATTGACCCAGTACTCGCGATTGTGAAATAAATAATTATGGTTTCTCCTTGAACGGTACACGTTTTCCGATACCTTTGATAACATTACGTGCAATATGCGTGATTAATTTATAAAATTGATGATGTTCAAGGAAATCCCAATTAATAAGAGCAACGAAATATGCTCTCTTATGGGTATAACCGGATTCTAGTCGGGGAATTTCGAAGACGTCCAATGCGGACACGAATGATGTTATTGTTTCTAGAGTTCCGTTGTTTACATTCGGTGGCATGTAATATTCCTGAGTGCGTGTGCTAATGTGTGCCTCTATTTGTTGCAGAATGACGCCACAAGAAGAGCGGGAGAACGCGCGCGGCGCGGAGATTGCGGACGCGTTCGAGGACGACATGTTCGGGCCGCCGCGCACTGAGCCTGCCGCCCGCCCCAAGCTATCCATGATCTCCGCCCGTCTGCGGGCCAACGAGGAGCGCAAGCGGGTCATAGAGATCTGCTCGCAGAAGCTGGAAAACATCGAGGACCCCGCGAGGGACCTACGCCGCTCCGTCTGCATCAATAACACATACTGCAGGCTCAGCGAAGAAGCGCGACGCGAGAAGGAAGCGAGGCGACGCAGGGCGCGAGAGGAATGCGACGACTCCTCGTGGGTCGGAAAGAAGGCCCGGCGCGCGGTCGAGGACGAATGCTTAGCCCTGTTGGACGCTATCCCCGAGTTGGGTGACGCGAACCTCGGGTGCGCGCAGCTGGCGAGGCAGATGCCGCGGCAGGACGTGCCCTTGCTGCCCCCCGGGCTCTTGACCGTGCTGGACTCATGACCGCGCCGCGCTGCGCCTCTACCTGCCCCCCTGTGATGTGAGAGCCACGCGCTCTTGATTTTCCCCGCTCGCCCCGAGTACGCGACGCAGCTCGCGCGACCTTCGGCGGCGACCCATCCTCACCCGGAACGGACGTTTAGCGAATATTTTGTTGTTTAAGAAGAGGTACTTACTTTGTTAGCGTGTTTTTATTATTTAGTGAAAGTTGCTCAGGCGCTGCCGACGGGCGCGGTCCAATTAGTGTTCAACGATTATTTTTACCGAACGGAGGACACGCTTCGTTATCGCGTCGTGTGGTGACGCGGTGAGCGAGAATCGAGGACATTTATCGTTTTTATTGAATGATTAGTTGTTAAGCTACAATTAAAATGTTACATTATTGTAAGTAAATAAATGATAGTGATTTAAGTGATAGTGCAAAACGACTGGGAACGGTTGCGTGGACGCTTCGAATCAGCGAATTGGAGTCTAGTACCTACCGGTGTGTTTATAGTGCTGCTGTGCCAGATGTTGGTGAGCAGGTAACGCGGAGCAAACCGCTCGGTTCACGATTTGAAGCCATTCTAGCGAGTAGTCAGTCATCAAGTTGCTAGCCTTACGAAACTCGACTGCAATTTACTGCCTAATTACATACGTATAATTTCACTGATGTAACTTTAAGGAGAACGAGAAAAAGAGTATTCAAATATTGTTTGTGAACGAAGTTCAAACGGTAATTTAGTCGAGTTAGAGACGTGGGCTCTGACGTGTATAGTGTATAGGACAGTGTGTGCGTGAGCGTCATCGACATTGGCCAACATTTGGCCGCCAACACAAATGCTCGGTCATGCACTTTATTAACAAGTCTGACTTTTTAGTTTCGCTATTATATTACTTTATCTCGCATAGTTTTTTTGTTTTTACGTTTTTCTTTTATGTAAGAAATTTTGTTACCTGATGATCAGCTATGATTTTGTTACCATTAAAATAGTTTGATTGGTTGAAGTTTTAGGTTTGCACGATTTGATGTTTATTGTTCGTTTACAAAAAAAATAACAAAAAGAAGGAGATTCGGACTCGGCAGTGCAATTGTTTGTTGTGCAATTCTTTCAAACGAAAATTCTTTTGAAATCTTAATTGTCGCAAAATATATTGGTAGTAGCCCGTTTCGCCCCCTCTGAATAGTAAATAGGTACGTGGAGGGGGCGCGGATAGAGTGGGGAGAGTCGGGCGGGGGTCGCCCGGAGGAAGGGGGATGCGCCGCGCCGTTCCCAGCACTCCTGTGATATTAGCCTAGCCTGAGTGTCGTATTTGTGCTAGTTTCTCCAACCTTGTTTGGAATGCGATGTATTTAAAAAAAGCTTCAGTAAAATTATTAATTGATTTTCTCTACTCACATTGGCCATTTTATACGGATTAACCGGATATTGTAGACGCATTTATATACATATTATGATATAGTAGATTTGTCACCTTCTATATTGTACGTCAATTTATTGTTTACGATTATGATTTGCGTTTCTTTCTATCTATTGTTGACAATCATTATTGTATTATAAAATTTTAAATGTTAGGAGCTTGTGTATAAATAATTATATACTCAGAAACAGCCGTTATTAGGCTGTTAGAGATCATTACTAAGTCAAAGCGAGTGCGTAATTACGTACTCTCATACAATAGTTGTTAAATTGGGATACAACCAAAAATGTATTTTACAAATAATAAAATAACTATTATTAAAACGCACATAATGTAATTTGTAAGTAGTGTTTTTTTTATTCATATAAACATGCCACGTTCAAAAACCTAAATTGTAAATAATTTATAGTTTACTAAGAGACGATGAGCACATGAGTGACCAAAACTGTTTCATGGCAAATGTATTTTTAGTTTCAAATCGTGGCTTCCATGATGTCGGAGTTTGTGAGATTTATTTTAGAGTAATAAATAAATTATTTCTTACCAAGCCTCTAATTTAAGTTAATTGAAAATCTGGAGCAAATGGAACTTGTTAATTTATTGCCCATGAACTAAACACAAAAACACATTGGTTTCATCATCATGTTGACGTTGTACTTCATAATATTGAAAAGAATCGCTTCCGATATAAATCTTCTTTTAACAGGCATAAAATATTACAGATTTAGAAACCATTTTAAAGTCCCGATGAGAGTACAGACGCTCTGTAAAGTGATGGTTATTTCTAAAAATAAATAATTCGTTCATAGCGTTATTCGGTCATCATTTAAAATTAGATCGATTTAGTACGCGGTAGGAGTAATCATTGCTACTTATGCGTTCTAACCTCAATAATTGTATTTATATCAAGTAATAAACTAAGAAAAATGTTTTGTATTGAAGGCTAAAATAATACAAACTGCATTAGCATGTCTTGTTACTAACTTCCTAGTAGTTATTTCTAACGAATAATGTGCAAAAGTGCCACTTATTTGCGCTCGACATAAAAAGAGCAGAATATTGAAGACTATCAGATTATTGGATCAGCACGCGAAGTTTTTACATCTCGCTCGCACCTACTAGTTGTAAGCGAAACGAGGAGCGATCGAATCTTAACTCTCAAAGGGAAATACATTAGCGTCCACCGAAGGCCAATACACAGTTATTTATCAATACACCGAAGCAATAAATACTGAATTTCGAAATATTTTGGATTTTTTTAAATGAATAAGTATAATAACTGCGATGAAAATTCTAACGAAACTTAAAAAACCTTGAACTGATCACATAAAACTTTTGATATAAAACCTTGAGCATTATAAATATATAATTTAATAAAATTGTTTTCTTTTTTTATAAATTTTTGTTAATGAACTTTGTGTCTAATTGAAACACTTATGAAAATGATTTTAAAATTTCGAACGTAAACACATTGTATTTGAGACTGTTTTAAAATACCTATGTAAGTTTGTTTATCCTTAGCTTTTGTGATTATGTTTATGACGAGGTTGTTTCGTAAATGTTGCCAACTATTACAAAGTTGGATAATTTTATGTAATGGAACAAGCAATATCTATATTTGTCTGTATTAAATTATAACAAACAAGGAAAGGTTTATACATTGAAAATAACGAAGTTAAGAGACGTTTTGTAAATGTTATCATAATTTTATTATTGTGATTAGCTGCTATTTTATAAATGTTTCCTGTCTTAAGCTAAGAGATGATTAAATAAAATAAAATATTAAATTGAATCCTTTGTTTTCATTTCCTGGACCTATTTAACGTTTCTTTAGAAAATTGCTTTTCTTGTGAAACAAGATCACCACATACCCTGGGTAGAAAATCCTGGTAGATGGGTGCAGATGTTGCTAAAATATAGACAAAGTTAATATGTGATTTCCGGTAAAATAAGGAGGAAACTGTAAGAATGAGGTTAGACACAGAGGGAAATTATGGGTTCCCTCTATCTGGCAGAATCTTGTTGCTCCGAAATTCATTTGGCGTAGCACACTTGGCATAATATTCTTTATACGAATATTTGTAAAGCATTTTTTTATTGTTTTTATTGTTGGTATAGTTATTGTAGGGCCTAATATGAGTTATGCTTCCAATGTCTGCTAAATGAGTGAATGCCAAAGGATCTTCTGTCAAATGAAGTTTCTGCCATGTGCTTATTAGTTCTTTGATACAAGGTAGACCCATGCTTAGCCAACCACCTGATAGATAATAGATAAATAAGCAATGAAAAGTTAAATATTTGTATGCCAAAAGACGATTCTGACAATGAACTTTATGCTATTGATGGTTCTGCTGTTTAAATATTTGGGATATTTGAGCCTCAAAATGTTTCTGGCTTACAATATTATCTGTTTAGGATGTCTGATGCCAAATGATTTTCTTAAAATGAAGTTTAATCTACCCGTTGATATGCAGAATAAAATTATAACATTAAAAGTTATGCGATATAAGGTAGACCCGTAGATTATAAAAGTCATCCTAAAAAAAGTTAGACACTGATTTAAACCAGATTTAAGTAATTTTTTTATGACACTTTTCCTTAAACTCGTGTTTAAGCCATGCTTAACTGTTTTGTGGTAATAAGATAAGTATTGAGAGCGGGCCTGAAGAGGTAGTATTGGGAGATTGTATGAAAATACATAATCTTGCACATCAAAGTCCACAAACAATTATTTAATTCATGCGGGCATGAAATAATTAAAACTTATTTGTTTCAATAATTTCTAAAGGTAAATTGTCAATAAAAGTTGATAATTAGGTTTCTGTGAACACAGAAAAAAAATAAAGTGTTAATTTTTGGAACAAATCAACCTTTGAAAAAACGGAGGAAGGAAGTTGTAAGTATTCGGAAAACTGGTAAAGTACATTCTACTAATATTATAAATGTGGGAGTTAGCATGTCTGTTACTCAATCACGGCTGAACGGATTTGGATTAAATTTTACACACAGACAGCTAATGGAAAGATACTTAGGATACTTTTTGCGGACACTAGTATGATATATATTGTACTGCTGGTATTACTAATTATATACCAAGGCACATATGTAATATGTTAACTGATATTATAAATGTGAAAGTTTGTATGTTTGTTACTCAATCACGCAAAAACTACTGAACGGATTTTTATGAAAGGCACGCATACTGGTTTGAGACATAGGATACTTTTTATCCTGAATAGAAGTCAGTATTCTGCGGAATTCTTAAAATACTAAAGTTTCCGCAGATGAAGTCGCGGGCGGCCGCTATGTAGGTATAATAATTATAAACAATCATGACTCGGTTAAAATATTTGTACTTAAATATCACTCAAAAATATACCTCTACCGGAATTCGAACCCGGGACCACACAGAGCAGAAGGAATATGGAGCGCTACGGTTTCACCAAGCGATACCTACTCTTAAAAAGTTAAATATTTTTTGTGATTCGCGAAATATTTCCTAATATTTCGCAATTTTCGGGAAAACTACAATTTCTATTGTAATTAATTGTAGGTAATCAAAAGATCTACAACTTCGGTTTTTTTAGGGTTCCGTATCTAAAGGGTAAAAGCGAGAGCCTATTACTAAGACTCCACTATCCGTCTGTCTGTTCATCTGTTTGTCTGTCTGTCTGCCACCAGGCTGTATCTCAAAAAATGGGATAGTTGAAATTTCACAGACTATGTATTTCTGTTGCCGCTATAACAACAAATATAAAAATAGAATAAAATAAATATTTAAGGGGGGGCTCCCACATAACGACCGTATTTTTTGCCGTTTCTTACTCTATATATTAATAAGGACATTAGGTAGACGCTTGAAACGTTCGTAGACAATGTTGTATATTAAATTTAAAAATAAATTATTGAATTAAAATAAATACGTAAAGGGGCTGTCATACAGCAGACGTGTTTTTTTCCGAAGAAACTAAAATTGACAATTATTGAATTTCAGGCAATAGGCGATCCTTAGGTAGGCAACAAAGAAACAGAAATTAAGCAACCAAGCTTTCCTTATTGGTTTAAAATTTGTTATAGCTGTAAAAAACGTCCTTACTTATCTCAAGAGTCATACATATTATAAAGGCAAAAGTTTTCGAGTGTGTATGTTTGTTACTGTTTCACGTCAAATCGGCTCGAGCGATTTTAATATATGGTATGGAGTTACCTGACACCCTGGATTAACACATAGGCTACGTTTTACTGCGAGAAAGTATCCCTAATAAACCACGGGTAACACCGCGGGGCACAGCGAGTCATCTATATGCGACACAATATCCGAGGCGGGTCCTGATTGGCCCTTAGATCTAATACTGTATTGTATACCTAACTTGCCTTTAATTAACCTGTATTAAGGGTCAATAAAAACCTTTTTCGTGCTTTCTTTCTTATGAAGAGGAAATTTCTGTATTTTTGTAACGAATAAAAGCAAAAACTATCTAACCGATTTAAAAAAAA